ATACCTCAGGATAAACAAAAACATTACATTAACATGCCCCAGTACTTGAAGGAAGTAGATGTGCAAACACACCCCAGCTGTTTGTGCTGTCATTGAGTACTACGAGTCACCTTGAGTCAAGAGAGCATATGTCACCGTAGAGAAACGAGCGATACAACAGTCATCTGTCGTGAAAGCTGTTGATGTGTACTTCAAGGTGCACTTCACTTTGGATTGTAAATACCAACAGCAGTGCAAAAGGGATGGACCTTCTTTGAGAAGTGCATCTATGCACAAAAAGGTGCTACAGCCAGAGAATCTGCTTCGTTGAGAGGCCTACAGGCTTACCTAGCCCATAAAAAAGTCCTGTAAGTAGCAGATGTGGAATTCGCTCATGTACACTTTTCTAATATAAAGTACAAGACGAAATGGAGGTGTTTAAAACTGAAAGTCTTTAAAAGGTGTTGAAGACCAAATTTAAGTTTGTTTTTGGTATTTAAACTGTTAGCAGAAGCTGCGTCATTATTTTGAACAGGACAAGACGAAATGGAGGTGTTTAAAATGAAAGTCTTTAAAAGGTGTTGCAGACCAAATTTAAATTTGTTTTTGGTATTTAAACTGTTAGCAGAAGCTGCGTCATTATTTTGAACATGACAAGACGAAATGGAGGTGTTTAAAATAAAAGTCTTTAAAAGGTGTTAAAGACTAAGTTTAAGTTTGTTTTTGGTAATAAAACTGTTAGCAGAAGCTGCATCAATGTTTCAGTTGCAAGAAGAAAATGTAAATTTTGTAAATTCAAGAAGAGAAGTGTTTGTATGGTGTTGAAGACGAGCAGAAAAAGTAGGGTAGTTCATATTTGGAGTAATTGTGCATGTTTTAGAAGCAGATATGCTGCATTCGTATTCTAAAAGGTGCTGTTTGGAAATTTGTTTTGTTGTATTTGTGAAAACACAAAATGTACCCTTTCTATGTTGCAGTGTACAAGAAGATATTAAGATCTTCGTAATTTTGTTTTCTTCTTTTATATTGAAATATGAAAAAGAGCACATGTTGTTTCTTTTTTTCAGATACAACAAAAAGGAACCGCAATAGCATGATTATTTTGAATGATGCTGTAGAACCTGCTACCAGAGGAGGGACCCCGTTTAAACTTTAAAGGGTTTCTTATTACTGGTAGCAGGTGCTGTTTATTCATTCTAAACATAATGTGCTCTATTAATTTCTGTTTTCTGTACATGCATGTAAAAATACAAATGTAGGAGCTTCACTTGCAAGACAAAATGAGGGCCTCTGTATTGTGGTGAAGACTATATTTTGTCCATTTAAGTTTGCGTTTAAGTTTATGTATACTTATTTTGGTAGCATATCGATGCTGCATTATCATTAAAAACGTGCTGTTTTGGTTCTTTATTGTTGTATGTGTTCGAACACACTACATGCTCTTTTTATGTTTCGATGAACAAGAAAGAAGAAGGTCGTTTTTACAGTGTTAAAGACGAGCAGAAAATGTAGGGCTTTCCTTATTTTAAGTTTGTGTATGTTTTTAAACTTGTAGCAGATGCTGCATTATTGTCTTACAGGATGCTGTTTTAGATTTTGTTTTATGTTGTATTTGTAAAACCACAAGATGTTTCATTTACTTTTCTTTGTTTCAACGTACAGTCATACAGCATGTG